CCATGAACACCTACAATCTTTGTTGCGCATTGATGATTAAGTTATGAATATGTGAAACTAGATGACATTTCGTTAAATTTCTATAATTTCCGAAATTGTTTCTCTATAATTGAAATGATGAGTTGAGTATGTAATATGTTGAGTTGATAATGGACACCTTATTTGTAGCATTAACATTTCATGAAATAAGAGGTGACTTTCTGAAGTATCATAGGAGAGAAGTGGTATGATCCTAGGTGATGCCAGGAGGAACCACACACACCTTGAGGTTATGCACCGAGATGATGGCCATTATGATTATGATGCTATGCTGGTGTTTAGAGATAGCACGGAAAAGGGCCCTAATGATCATGACGAGAAATGTTTGTCACAGGTGGTAAAGAGAGATATAAATGAAGATTTTTGTACACAAAATGATTTTAACATAATTACATTCATATGCACATATACAATCATTACTTGCCAAGCCCATGAGTCATTAGTTCTAAAATTATAGTGTGTGTTTTGTAGTAAGGATCGTTGCATTTTAGGGATTTAGGATTATGTCATACCTAGATAGCTGTGGTATTGCCAACAAACTTATGACATTTATTTATTTCGAAGAAAATGTCTTTTACTCTATCAGTATATTTTACGAAAAATTTTATTTGGCCCCATATGTGTAATTTTTTTTTTTTATTAAAAAAGGAAAAAGAAATTTCACCAACTACCAACTGAAATTAATTTCATATTTTTGGGTAAATACGTTGTGTTGGGGAATTTGAAAATTGGGGCTTTACTCAAAGCACCTTTAAGGAAGCGGTAATTATGACCGTACAAAATGCAAAGGGAAAAGTAAGACAAATGTGACAGAAAGGAAAATATAGCACCATGGATTTTAACTAAATGCATATAATCCAAAATGCATACTGACAGAATTAAACTAATGCTAAGCAATTGAAAACATGTATCCTTACCTAACAACTAGCATCTGAACAGATCGATACTTGATAGAGCCTATGGTGACATGATATTACTACAAGGAGCACTTATCTATCAATCAATATGGTTCTTATAATTTCAAATGATTTGGGAGGACTAAAGAGTGAGAAAAACCCTTCAATTATGAGTCCATATCAATCACTAAGCGCATTTGCTACCATTACCAGTGCAGCAGGATAGAGTATCCTTTGCATCTAATTGAACTAAGGCTTGCAGGGGATTTCATCATGAGCTCATTGACTGAATCACATAGTGGCTCAAATGGGAATCTTATCTAACTAGATGACTTCTTTTATTCTTTACTTCTTTCATTTTGTATTTCTCTGCTCGTCTTAATAAATTCTCTTTTACGTCATAAAAAGATATAAACAAAACGATAACGTAGCACCTCTCAAAGTACATTACAATAATATTATAATGAAATCACATATCTACACAAACTGACATAGTACAAGCTCTGATTTATTGAAGGATTGGTTGAATCCATTCTGCTTTAAACCCTAGATTCCTCAAGCCCCGAAAGATTTTTCTTTCTTCTCACCATAAAAAACAGATGTTCACTGAGAGCACGATATGTTTCCATAATGCCTAAATAATTGCAACAAAAGGTCATGCCAATGGCTGACATACAGGAGAAGGGAATCAGGAACCAAATATGGATAATTGAAACAAAAGAACAAGTTAACGGCCTACAAATGACATTTTTAGAAGAACCAAGATTGCACCATCTAAACAGATGACTATTATTTGAAGCGGAAAGTGAACTGAAAAATGGAGAAGCTATGTCATACATTGGCTATTTGAAGTTCAACAAGTTTGGGAAAGGAGAAAGAATGGGTTGACAACTCCAACAAGACAACAGGGAAATGGAAATTGAATAGCATGAAAAATTAATTCAAATACTTTTTCAAAAAGAACAAAAGCAATCTCTTATTAACTCTAAAATTCTCAAATGTTAGAATTAAGACCACGTTTTCTTAGTTTATTTATTTATATATTTTCAATTTCCTCTTGCCTTATTTTTTTAAAATTGTCTATTCCTCTCATCATGGTTGATTCTCGTTATTTTACCGCTTCCTCCCAACAAATGCACTAATTTGCAATAGAAGGTTCTGAGACCACAGAAAGAAAAAAATAATAAAATAAAATAAAATAAAACAACTAGTACATGTAACTAAAAATTATAAAATTCAGTCATAAAAGATTTGACCGCAGCCTTGGACGAGACGATAATTCTTCTCAAATAGAACTTCATCATGAAATATATATTGAGATAAGAAGCAACAAATAGACACTCTAGATATATATTGAAATCAAATAGATTTACCGTCCTCGGGTCTCTTTACAAACTCCACGCCTAAACTTTCAAATCTTTTGCAAGCCTTATGTACATCATCAACAGTGATGCCTATGTGTCCTGAAAGCCCAACAAGACATGTTAGTCATTCAAATATCCAGGAAGGCCAACCATCCCCTAAAAAATGAAATCCCCCGTATGGAACTAATTCTTGGTACAGACGCTAAAACAAACTGAAGATAACCAAGCAGCATATCGCATAAGAATTAATTCCTTAGAACACATGATAAGCTATTCAATTGCACTAGTGGGTGTCGATCTACAGAGTTCGAGCAAACTAGAAGACTTTCAAAGAGGAACCAAGCATAATGCAAACAGCAGTTGATTAAAATTGAACTCTGAAACTACCCCAGAATGAAAATAAAATCCCCATTCATAACAAGATATGGACAATTTATTTTCTAGTTCATCTCATCCTCAGTTCAAAAAATTTATTCAAATGTCAAGAAACTATAATAAATTTCAGAAATTCCCTTTACTTTCTGATTTTTGAAGCAGCAACCTAACACACACAGATAGGCAATACATTTCTCAGTAAATGAATTTATAAAGGACGAAGCATATAAATAATTGTAACAATGTAAGTTAAAGTAGCAGCAGCAGAATCAACACACTTGTCATCTTGAAACAAAAGGTGGAATTATTGACTCTCGTTACACGTGTAAAATTATAAAAATAAAATAAAGCAAGCATGGACACAATTTTCCACCCATTGAACATCCACCAGATTGACAACTTGTAACATTTCATATTTCAAGCATAGCAATTGCAGTTTCATCACAAACAGGGAACCAAAGGATTTCACATAAAACAAGACATTCTCTTCAAAGTTATACCAGGTGAAATAGAAATAGAAACGAATACATGCGATGTGAAACATTGACATGTTTGACACAAAATGTCAAAATTTTCCTGCAGAATCACGAGGGGGAAGAAAGAAGCACTTTAGAGTTAAATGGTTCTCATACCAAAGCCACGAGGTTCTGAGTTCCCATCGTGATAACCCTTGAAATCAGGATCAGCTTCCGTACCCCAGTTACTGCGACAAAAAATTGACAGTTAGATGTCAATATGTCATGAGAGGGCCACTTGCACAACAATTTCTCCATTTCTTGGAAAAAAGGAGCTAGCTCTTACTGTGTAAGCTCAAGTGTGGCTTTCTGACCAAAAGTCCAAGCAGTACGCTCAACTGGATCTTCAGGAGCAGACTTAGTGTCCTAAACCACCAATATACAAATGGATTAAGAGATCAAATGCCAGGAAGAACCACATACATGTGTATGGACAGACAACATATATAAGTGCATCAAACTAAAAGAAAATTAAGAGCACAAGGTGCACAAAGAATATACTCAGGAAAATGCTTTGAAAATGGTTTTAGATGTTTTACCTCGTATCCCAAAAAGTACAAGGTAAACTTCATTTCTGGAAAGTCCAGTCTCTTGAGCAATCTGTGATCCGCAAAATAATAAGAAAAAATTGGTTCGACTTGTACTATCTAATATCAACTTTCTGGTGTGGAAAATACATGCTACACTAGTTTAATTGCAGCAGAAACAAAAATCAATAAAAATTGAAAGATTTCCAATTTATTAAACCAGAAAGAAAAAATTCATTTAGGCAATGTAACTTTTCAGTAGGAAATTCATTTTGGAATTCAAATTTAGGCCAAAGAATTGATAGCTATGATATCAGATGCCAATTAAGTACAATATATTATTCAATATAAATTTAAAGAATTACATAAAGAATTGAAAATTTTATCCACATATAAGTGTATATTCACTCCTCCCCAGACCTCACCAACTCCTGAAACTGCCACCATCAATGCATTGACCTTCCCTCCATTATAAGCCCCACTGCACATTGTCCCTCTCAAAATACATGTTTTCACTAAAGAAAAGAAGGGATGTTGTAGCAGGTAAATAGGAAGTAACAACAGAGTGCTGTTGTGGTAGGTGGCAAAACGAGAATGTGGCAGGAATAGCAATAGAGCTGCTCCGGATGAGAAGATGCTGCTTTTTTCTCTACTGTCAAGACTCTTTGATCTTGGAATAGGCCATTATTTTCCCAGTGATGCTGACACAGTTCACTCATTTTATTTCAAACTTTCTTTATTCCATTTATGAACTTGAATGAGTTCATCTCAATACTAATTCCACAATTTTATTATAATTAGTTAAAATATGGATACTGACTACTGATTGAACGTGAACTCAAATAACTATAATGTCAGATATCATTTCTAATAAAGCATATTTTTGTCTGTAACATCTAATGAAGAGAACAAGGACATATTGAATTGCATCAAACTGGTCCACCATATCCATTATCCATCTGATTTCTAGTATATTTTATGAAAAACCCAGTCATAATTTTAAAGAAGATCTTGAATCTTTGCCTTTAGTGGATAATACAGTATATAAATCTAATTGACATTTAAAAGCAAGAGGAAGGGGGTATTTTACTGAAAATTATGTTTTTTATTTATTCTTTTCTCTATGTAAAACTCAGTGTGCAAAAACGTCTTGTTTGATCTTAGCGATGTACTGGAATCAATTTATCCAGTAGCTAGCAATTTCCCCATTTGTAAGGGTAATCAATACAAACCAATCAGGCTTATTCTTTAAAGATGGTAATTTTAAAAGCCTAATGAAGGCTCCCTATTATAAGACAAATTAGGGCAAAACTGAAATTTACAAGGACTTGAATTCCTAAGACAACATTCACAAGGACACAAAAAATCATCTTCAAAATCCCTTATCTATCTATGAATGATTGATTGTAAGCATCGAAGACATTCCCTATTGGAATTTCTTAACAATTAAACCAAAACCACAATTCTAACAATTGAAAATATATCAACAAACTCCCAGTCTATCCATAGCACCATCAAAAACAAATGTGCATTAGAAAATTACCAAAGGCTTACAGGATTTACACAAAGAAGCATAAAATTATATAATCAATTGAAGAAAAAATGAAAAAAAGAAAGAAAGAATGCTCAACAAATTTGATAATTACATCATGTTATCCCACAAAAACTAGAGATGATAAGAAATGGGGTTTTTTTCTTAGTAGAAGTTAAGAATACTTACGTCATGCCCATTATACGAGAGTAGAAATCAAGGCTGACTTTGGGGTCCTTTACTCGAATCATCTGAAGCCAAAATACAGGTGGAAAATTGGAATCAACCAAGAGTTCCGTAAATGTATATTTGTGGATATTTAATGTTGGTATCAATATACATGAATGTTGGTTCCCAATGAATATGAAATTGGCTATGTGAAACAAGGCCTCAATGTCTGATTCACTCATCCTTGCATCCATCAAAACACACAATGAAATCAATTCCTTCAAAGATCCGTCGAGTGGTGCTAACTCTAACATGGTAGCATATAATCTGATTTTATTTTATTGAATGAAGCTTTTGAAAAAGAGACAGAAGAAATGGATGAGAAATTCAAATTGGGTTTAGTACTTATATACGAGACTGTGCCGAGATCCAAAGAAAAGAATACATCTATTGATCTTCAAACATTAAATATAGTTGATGAATTGGAGCTGTTCAATAGATATCCATGGGGAATAAAATGTTTCAAGTTTACAATACACGCTTTTCTTAGAGTGTCAAAGAATCCAAAGAGTCTCTCCAAATATGCGTGATGATGATGTATGTATACTTTTCACAAGATTTATTTATCATCTTTTGTTCGATAAATTGGTGCTAACAATATGTTTTCTTATTCTGTTAGGTACAAAGTTCGAGGACAGCTCATGTACGTGGATCTTCTATTCCTACAAGTCGAAGACCTCCATACAATCGTCGAGCTTCTTGCAACCACGACGATATGTTGAGACAATTGTTGCACCACGTGGAGAGGTTATCTAATAAATATGAAGAGATAAATAGGAAGGTCGACACTATAATAAATTGGATGAGACCGAGCCAACATCACGACAGAAGCCATTCATTTGGGAATGATAGAGTATTTGGGATCGAGGGAGATAACCATGAGGAAGTTTGAGAGGAAGGTGGATGTGTGGGACACTATGGGAGAGACAGGGGCAAGGGACGCTGTAGGGGAGTTTGGGGCAGGGGACACGGTAGGAGAGTTTGAGGTAGGGGATGCTATGATGGAGATAGTAGTAGGGGGCATTGAGATGAGAGATTGGGAAGGAGGCAGTTGTAGGGAGCGATGAGAGGGAGACTAGGACAGGGAATATTGAGAGGGAGATGGATGTAGTTGAAGAGGGGACTAATGAGAGGACAAGGATGTATGCCAAGGTTTTTACTCGCAAAAGGAAAAAATTAGATAAAACATATCAAAAAACCGATGCCCTGATGCGAGATAAAAGCTTAAAAAAAGCTTCAAAGTTAGTTTCTTCTCCATACACGACTGGAGCTAAGTGGAGAAGACATGTTGATGGTACGCATGTTGATCCTTTTCGGGATATTGACCCAGTTAAGAAGAAGCAATTCTCCAAGTGGTACTCCAGTTTAGGCGATGGGTAAGCATCTTTACCAATTCATTGACTTTGATTTTTTTTACTTGTCACTTGTATTATTTTACAATTCTGTATTTTTTTCTTCAATGTATCATATAAATGGGGTCATATCAACTTAGAAGACGCAAAAAAATGGTTTAACGATGTGTTGAAACCAGGGGGATGGTTTCTGGATGATATAAGTATGTTAACTCATTACTTGTATTATTCAATTGATTTGTATATAACTATGTATTCAACTTTCAACATGTTCACATAGTTTTGCATTTGTTGCGGGCTCCGGCAAAAAATTATCCCAAGTCATTTGGTGGTTCTCGAGCTATTCAGGACGTGCAATTTAATAATGAATTGAACTTTACTTTGTTTGATTTACGTGAGAGAGGAGATCATTTTAGAACGCAGATCGAGCTAATGGAATATATCACCGGGGCAAAGCCATCATTTGGAAGGAAATGACAGGAATGTACACATGTATACTTTCCGTTATGTACTCACGGGCATTGGCTCGCAGTTGAGATTGACTTTTACAAAGTTTGTGTATGATCCTGATAAGGGTTGCATTACGAGAGATCAACTCAAAGATGACTTGAAGGCTGCTAGTATCATTGTCCTGCTACTTTTGAAGGAAATCAACATCGATTTGGAGACAAATAATCTTGTTATAGAAAGGAATACCAAAACCACTAAACAAGCCATTTTGTAAGTTTTTTATTACAATTAAATATTCACTTTTTTATATTAATTTAATCGTTTCACTTCATTTACCATTATTTATTATCTTCCAGGAGCGATTGTGATATGCACATAGTTAAATATATAGAATTCTTAACTATCAACGGTCCAGTAGAGCAAGTTAATGGCTTCTACATGAATAGATGGAGGGAAAAGATGGCTGCCGATATTTTTACCCTTGATTATGATCCATAGGACCTTTTGATGTATTTGTATATCTATGAGTTATGAATACAAATATAATTTTGTATTGCATGTGGAATGTGGGGTTTTTTTGTGTTATGAATAGTAGTTTATTTTTCAGGTTGATTTAGTTTATACTCCAAGGGAGATAATGTTGAATTTTTTCAAAAATGTAAGTTTATATTTCAGTCTTTTCCAAAGAGAACGGCTTTAGTCGTTTAAAAAGGCTGTAATTGTTTTTAACAAAGACTTTTTTAAAAAGACTGTAGTCGTTTTCCTAAACGACTCTAGTCTTTTTAAACGACTGTAGTCATTTTCCTAAACAACTTAGTTGTTTACAATTTGTTTTGTTTAAATTGTATAGGTCGACAAACTTCATTACATACAATTCATCGTACTCTAGGAACAATATTCAAGTATACGGTATTTAGATTCCTAGTGTACGACTTACAATAATGTATAATGTAATGAGGTGAGAATCGAACTTCTAACATTATAAATTGAATTTGGTTTCGACTTGTTAGTTTAAAATGAATAAGAAGACGAACTTCGTTACATAAAATTCATCGTGCTCTGCTTATGTTATAATTCAAGTATACCGAATTTAGATTCTAAGTTTGCTACTTACAATAATGTATAACATAATATGAGGTGAGAATCGAATTTCTAACATTATAAATCGTGTTTGGTTTCGACTTATTAGTTTAAAATGAATAAGAAGACGAACTTTGTTACATATAATTCATCATGCTCTACTTAAGTTATAATTCAAATATACCGTATTTAGATTCTAAATTTTGCTACTTACAATAATGTATAATGCAATTTGAGGTGAGAATCGAACTTCTAACATTATAGATCATGTTTGGTTTCGACTTATTAGTTTAAAATGAATAAAAAGACGAACTTTGTTACATATAATTAATCGTGCTCTACTTATGTTATAATTCAAGTATACCATATTTAGATTCTAAGTTTGCTACTCACAATAATGTATAATGTAATTTGTGATGAGAATAGAACTTCTAACATTATAGATCGTATTTGAAGCAAAATCATAATGTATAACATTTGAAATCTTGTTTCGTTAGATTTCAAACTATTTCATACAAAAATGTATAGAAAAACAAGCATATAAGCAAAAAATGAGATGGAAATTTAAAAAACAACACAACTTTAGTTGTTTTCATGTAAACGACGGGGGTCATTTAAAGCAACTATGGTCGTTTTCTTACAAAACGACTGGTCATTTTAAACATCTGGAGTCATTTTTGTTTTTAAGGAAAAATTATTGCAGACGTTTAAAACGATCAAAGTTGTTTTTCATTTATCATTTATTACATGAAATAAACAATTATGAGAAAACTATCCAATATTCATAAAATACATATTTGGGATGAATTATGACAAAAACTCATAACATAAACGTAAATTGTAATAATTTGTCATAACATGCTATCAACTAAACAAACAATATACTAATCCTCCAATCTTCTATCGGCTAAATTATATGATTTCAACCTTAGAATGTATTTGATTTCAACCTATTTCGTTCAAAATATATAGGAAGACGAACTTTGTTATTACAACTCATCGTGCTCAATTATATGTAGTTCGAGTGTATCGTATTCAATCCTAAGTATGCCTTTTACAATTGGTTTCGATAAGTTAAAACATCATTTTATAATGAAAAATGCGACAATCAAAATTGTAACCATTTAAACCATATTTGGTTTTTAACATATTTCGTGTAAAAACGTATAGGAATGTGAACTTCATCGTCATACCCCACCACACACTGTTCAAATATATTGCATTCGATTTTTATGCTTACGACTTATATTTTGATTTCGATAAATTAAATCATCATGTATAATGAAAGATGGTATATCAGTTAAATATCTAAACTTTCAGATTGTGTTAGATTTCAACTTATTTCATTTAAACAGAAGTATAGAAAGATGAATATCGTTTCATACAATCCTTTGTGCTTCACTACACACAATTCTAGCATACCATATTCGATTTTTAATTACACGACTTACAATTGATTTAGAACAAGTTAAACTATCATCTATAATGAAAGAAAAGATGTCTTTCAAACTTCTAATAATTGGTTTCAGAAAGATAATATATAATGAAAGACGAGAGGCTAATCAAATAAGGACCCTTCTAAACCATATTCAACTTACAAATGTTTTTTATTGTGATCTAAATAGATTTTATGTTTGTCGTAAGTAGGTCGTGAACATGCAAATCACAACCAGAGGCTTTTATGAAATAAAAAACGACTATATTCGTTTTAAACAACTAAGTCGTTTTTCTCATTAAACGACTGAAGTTGTTTTAAAGGACTAGATCGTTTGAGAAATAAACGACTTTAGTCATTTAAGCCCTCGTTTGATCCCCATTAAATTAAATTACATTACATTCAATTTATCTCTCTCCTATTTTCAACTATACAATCTTCCATAAAATAATATTACAAGTAAATCGAATATTTTTCCTACTTTTTCAACCACTCATTTTTCTAAAAAATATTATTCCCCCTATTTTCATTTTCAGGTAATGGGGCTCAAACGGGGGATAAATCAACTGCAGTCGTTATTCATCATTCATTTTTTCCTGAAAATGTTATAGAAAGGATATTATAGTCATTTACGTAAAGGGCATTTAAGACTTATCAATAATATAGAAAAGGATAATTTAGACATTTTAGCATAAAAGAAGTCTTAAAAACTTATTTAGAGTAAGTTAGGCCTCAAAAATTTTTGAAGGGCTTGACTAGGCCTTTTCAAAAAATACCCCAATAAAATAATAAGACCTAGTCCATTCGTTGAACTTAACAATCGCAATTAACAATGAAGATAATGATACTTATATGAGGGTAATTGTAAATCTTACGGCTTGCTGCAAGAAATAACTTTTTGTGGCCTCATCAGGAGTCTGAAGGCCTGGGTTGTTGGAGGCCGACTCTTTGGATGCCATTACTGTTGTCGATACAAAACTTCTAGGTTGATTCAATACCTGCACATAAAAGAACTTCTAAAATCCGAAGGGGGGGGGACTGGTTTAAGAAATGGGTGTTCCAATTTGAGACCTTAGGTTTTACAGTGAGAAGTGTAGGGAATGAAGATGAGAGTGGAACTCTATGAGTGGTTGATCGAAGGAGAGAGAAGGCGACGGTCAGAGATGAAGAAGATGCCATGAGAGAGAGAGAGAGAAAGAGATACCTGGTTGACGAGCCTAGTAGGAGTTGGAGAATGGAGATATAGGACCACCGGGGATTGATATTTCCCGTACTGGTTTCTTATCTCTGGTAGTGGTCGGTCGCAGAATAGGTCCCTTTTTGTATATTTTGTAAAATGTCCAAAAAGAAAATCATTGTCACACAGAACCTCTGTTTCTGAAAAAGCCTTTGTTTGATTTTCATTATTTATAAAATATTTTTTTTTATTTTCAATAAATAACATTACATACAAATATAATTTTTTTTTTTTTAGTCATACACTCTCAATCAAAATATTATTTCAAAACGCATTTTGAACAAAAAAAAAATGATTATCAAACAGACCCTACAAATAATATCATATTACCTCCATCTCAATATTAAAGTTTTAATGTTTTTCCAATGTTTCCCACACACTATTTACTTCATGTTTAGGAAGTGTTCATAATCAACATCGTAATCGCTGATGAAGGTTTACGATCAACAATAATATCAAAGTCGATAATTTTGTCTAAATTACCAATAAATATTAAATTCAATTAGAATCACTAATAGAATTTTTGTCAATGATTATTTGATCTATTAATTTATTTTATTATTGTTCTACAAACAACCTCGTTAATGATTTTATTTAAGACCCTCGAATTGTGTGAACCGTCTCAACAAGACTACTCATTGTTTGTAATATAAATCAAGTGTGTTTGATGTTTAGTCTCGAGTCCCATTTTTTCAAAATTCATTTTCACACCCACATCGTCTCATATAATAATTTTATACGTAAATTCAAAACTTTTTCTTATTTTTCAATCACACACCAATACTCATTAGATCAAATATATATGTTTTATCTCCTTTTTCCATGCAATATTCTTTCAGTTTATCCAATTTTATAATAGCATTAATAGTTGTTCCTTTTACTCCTGTGCTGATTCTATATAATAAATGTGGAAGAACAAATGGAAATCTTTAGACAGAATAAAATGCTTAACAGCTCTTGAGCATTGTCTTCCTTCATGAGGCCGGCCAGTTGACAAGAAACCTAGAATCTCTCTGCTCCACCCATTGCTCCTTCAGTATGTGTTCGAGCTCACTTGGCCGGCAAGGAATGGTGAGTGCACCTTCATGATCAAACCCGTACTCCTCAGCAGCTTGCTCCAATAGCCTCAAGAATGATGGATGAGTCAAATAACTCAACGGCACAATGAATCTCTTCAATTCATCATCATCCACTGCAATCACTGCAAAATGTCCCTCCTTCACATCGTTCGGCAAGTTCTTCGATTCCCTCGTATCTTCGTCGAATTCATCCAAATCAGAAGAATTCTTCCTGCCTAAGAGTAAACTTTTCTGTAGCCTTTCTACCACTATTTTGAGCATCACCATGCCATTCATTTTCTTACCATTTGTTCTACACTTTGCCATGCTTCTTCTTTTTTCCTTATCAATATATAATTGATTCGATGACCTTTTCCTCTGCACATTAGCCAAATTATATATAGTGTACGAAGCCGCGTGAGAGATAAGGTAGAGCCCTAAAGCGAGAAGAGAAAGAGAAAGGACAAAATTTCTGTACTGAATCTGATGTCCATATAGGAGACCAGTGCATGTGAGTGAAGTTTGAGGCTCCTGTGAAATGTCACTTTGACTTGACACTTCTGCTTTCCAATTACAAAGACCCACATTTTAAAATTCAGTACATCTAATTCACTTTGACTTGTCACTTCTACTACATAAAGATTTCTCGAGAAGCCTTTATGAGAGTTGCATTGTGTTAACTGTTAAGTATGCTGCATATTCCCCACTTGAAATTACAATTTCTTCATACAAGAATGGCCAATGTTTCGAGAAAAATTTAAACTGGAATTCTGCTATAAATGTACAACTTGCAGGTATATAAATTTCTGATCCTACTAGGGTTTTCCAGGACGATTCTTTGAACTATGGCTTTAGTGTACAAATTATTTCTTTTTAAGTATTAGACTGGATGCTAAAGTGTAAATTATCTATTGTTTACCAAATTCGGTCGGTTTTGCTTTTTATTTTTTCTATTTTTTATTTTTTATTTTTCCTTTTCATGACCAACATGGTTCACTTTTTTATAAAGACAAGTGCACCCTATCATTAAGAAAAACATGTAGTAATTGAACTTTTAGGTTTGTAGGACAAGTTGTCAACTAATGCTAGGGTGTGTTCTTAATCACATTCACTTTCGTGTTGATTAATACCTTACAAAGTTTCTTACGTAACGTTAGTCCAACATTTCATTTAATGCTTTTCATGAGTAAAAATTAATTTCTAAATTTTGAACTCTCAATGTAGAGTTGATTAGACTAGTATCAAACATGAACCGTGCTAGATGATCAAGGGACGACATGGCATCACCTATATAGGCGGGGGCGGAGATGCCTTGTTCAAATAGCTTTTCCCACCGAACACCCTTAGATAAAAGTTATACATAATTAAGCAACTAATAAATATTTTATGTACTTTCTATCAATCTTTAGTGAGAATTGAGATCCTATTTAATAAAATGTACCATTTTGGAGATGTTACATCAATTAATCCTTGGAAGCAGAGAAGACCCTGACAGATATCTTCCAGAAAGTGACGGTGGAGGGATCTGTTAAGGGAGTACCTCGGAGTGCCCAACGCTTTGGAGTCAAGGGGCACTTTGGTTATTTCAGTGGATCTACTCTTTGCCTCACAGCACATCATGTGGGAGGTCTTCAGGAGTTCACTTCGGAACCACTTCGGATGGACATATGGCACTTCGGAGAGTGGTGTGCCTAATGTTCCGAAATGGTTTAGTTAGGGGTGTAACAGTGGTCCCCCAAGTTCAGGCATGAATATTCATATCATGGGTGAACTTATTTTCCCGATTATGTATGCCAGCCTAAGAGTAGGGACTGCGGATTCTGATGAAGTGCTGATATGAAAGGGATAAGTAAGCAGATGTGGCGAACACTTGTTGGTCGGGGCTTAGCGATAACTGAGGTGATCTGTCTCGATTGATTGTCGTTTCATGGCGAGCCTTTAGTATTCAACCGAAACGTATGAGTTGTGTTTTCGCAGGGGGCGGAGATCATCTGCTAGCGGGGAAGATGCGTGGAGAGATGTCTGAAGCTTTATAAAGCCTGGAAATGCAGGAAACGCAGCAACCGAGGTGAAGACCCTCAGGGGACTTCGCATCGGGTGCGTCGAAGCTCTGAAAAATTGAGGAAGAAGTGTATCTGCTATCTGTACTTTGACCCATAGGGAACGACACGTTGGGAGATTGTTTGAGCTTTGTAAAGCTTGGGAACGCAGCGTCAGAGGCGAAGAACCTCAGGTGCGTTGAAGCTATGAAAAGCTGAGGATGAAACGAATCTGCTATCGGTGCGTTGACCCACAAGAGACTACGCATTGGGAGATGGCTTAAACTTTGTAAAGCTTAGAAATGTAGCGACCGAAGTGAAGACTCTCAGGGGACTTCGCATTAGGTGCATTGAAGCTATGAAAAGTTAAGGGAGAAGTGTATCTGCTACCGGTGAGTTGACCCACAGGGGACGATGCGTTAAGAGATGGCTTGAGCTTTGTAAAGTTTGGGAACGCAACGTCCAAGGTGAAAAACCTAGGGTATGTTAAAGCTATGAAAAGCTGAGGAAGAAGCGTATCTGCTACCGGTGCGTTGAACCATAGGGGACGTCGCATTGGAAAATGGCTTGTCTTTGATCTGAAGTGTCTTATTATGACGTTAATCGATGTGACAGTTGTCGCGTATTTGCAATGCGACAGTTGGATGTGCTGTCTATTCCCATAAAAAGGGCTACTACGGCTACTTATTGTTGTCGGCTGTTGTTGTTCGAGATGACGCGTTTTATGCATGTGTGAGGGGCATAGTTAGATCTTGGGCATTGATCAAATCTGGCGTTTCATTTCAACGATCCAGATTTGTGATGAGATGAACGACCTAGATTGACATCATTTGAATTCAACTGTGAGGATCGTCTGAGGTGTCCTATAAAAGGAGGACTTAGTGCCATTCGAACGTTTTCACCTTTCCAAACTCAGAATCCCTATTGCTCTCAAATTTCTTGGCGATTTTCGACAAGTTTTGACTCTCTTTGTGATCTCCGGTGACTTCAAGGAGTTGTTTTTTGAGCTTTTCGGCGTTTGGACACCCATTCCAGTCGACTTTCGTAAGTATTCTTCAGTTTTTTCACAATTTTTTTGAAAAAATGGCCTCTGAGGGTAGTGGGTCGTCTAGGAGGGAGTTGGAAATAGTAAGGGTTGACCAGCCAGTATTGGCAACCTCCTCGAAATTGTCCGAGGTGATATTAGGGGAAAAACATTTGGAGGCAACCTGATAGCCCGATAGACACTTCCATACACTGGGGGGGGCATCTGATTACCCTTCTAAATTTAAGCCTGCCAACCTCGATAAACTTAGGAAAGAGTATAGGATCCCAGATAGTGTGGGTCTAATTTTGTCGAAGCCTGATGAGCGAGCCTGTTACCCTAGGCCGGGCTGCGTAGCTGTGAGCGAAGAGCTTTTTAGGGCCGGTCTTAGGTTGTCAATCCATCCTTTCTTTCATTTTGTTCTGAGGTCTTAGGGCTTGGCCCCGACCCAACTGAACCCTAACCGTTGGAGCCAAATGGTGGGGTCATAGATGCTATGGAAGGAGGCGTCGCTTGGGATAGAGATGCCATTTTCAGTATTTCAAACTTTGTACATCCCTAAGATAGCGGGGGGTGATAAGACCAGAGGTGGCATTATTTGACTTCATGGGGTTCCCACACTCCATTTGTGCTCGATCTGTCAAGTTCCATCAAGGAATGGAATAGCTCATGGTGCTGGGCCTTAGGGAGATGGGACACAATGGGGGGGGGATCCCTTGGCGCCTCTTAGGGTCCCCACAAAGTATTCAACACTTAGTAAGTATTGGAGCCTTATGATTTTTTGTGTCTCGCATCAGCTCGAAAATTAACTATTTGTTATTCTTGCAGATGCTATTCCTTGGTGCGAGCTTTCTGCCAAGGAGTTCGATATAATTTGCATTGTTTATCAACTTTCGCTGAAGAGGAGGTCCTTTAACGAGCTTATCAGGAAGAACATTTACTTCGTCACGCACGAACTAATGGCCTACCAAGGTAAGTATCTGAAGTGTACCTATTGTGACGAATTTTCGAACTCATTATACTTGTGCTAATCTATTTTGTTCTGCTGTAGATGATTTCAACAAGAAGAGGCTGGTGAAGCCTGACTTTAAAACTATCCAACGAATGATGGCCGAGATAAGGGCCCTGAAGATCTCCTTCTCCACTTATAAAAAGTTTAGCTCGTAGCAGAGAAGGAGGACCTAGAGGCAACTCTCCAAAGAAAGGGGAAAAGGGCTGCTAGCTCGTCAAAGGGGCTCACCGTGGTTAGGGCTGTCCTGGTCCTCCGTCAAACAACAAGCCCACTAGCGTGGCCATAAGGGAGAGGACAGTGGCTCCTGCTACCCCAATCGTTCCCCCAATTTCTGTCGTTCTAGTCACACAAGTGCCGAGGCAGTAAAGGAGAAAAGGGTTCGCCTGGAAAAGAAGGTGGACTTCCTAGGCACCAATAAAGAGGAGCCGATGAGTGAGGTGTTGGAGGCCTTGCCTCTGGAGACGGCGGGCGTAGCCCTATTCCATAGCAAGTATTGGACCAAGGAGTGAAAAGACCACACAACCTCCTACACCCCAGAGGACTTGGTTGCTGCCAATAGCGCTTGCATCGCCCGGGCCCTGAGTACAGTGTTCAACTTCAGGGCTTGGTCAAGGACCTCAATGTGAAGAGGGAGGATCTGACTAAGAGTCTGGAGAAGACACTGCACTACTGGGATGTAGTATGGGCCGCCCAAGCGAAGGCCTTGGAGGCGGAGAAGGCGAGGCAAGAGGTGGAGGGCCGGCTAGTGATGGCCAATGAGGAGATAGAGAGGCTGAAGAAAAAGCTCTATGAAGTGGAGTGCCAGGTTGCTACTATGACAAAGAGAGTCGATCATGTCAATGAGCACCACTGGCCGCCACTGAAGCTCTAGAGGCCTTCAACAAAGAGAAGGTCGAGCTGAGGCATTGGGTAGAGGCCCAAGCTGAGGAGATCGAATCTCTGAAGGGCGAGGTAAAGGCGACGGGGGAGTTAGCAGTGCAGAACTTCATCAATTACATTACCAACTTTTGGGCTTCATGGAATGCCCAGGCAATGTTGAATCGCCTAAGGGAGGTCCACCTAACTCTGAATTTAACTTCCTTGGAAGCAAAGTTCGATGGGCCTATCGGAGGTCGACCTGACAGGGCCGCCGAGAAAGCTACTGAAGCCCCCCCAAAAGTCGAGCCGGAGGAATGCCAAACCTGCAAATAATGTTCCTCCAGACGAACTTTGTGGTGTTCGCCTCAATAATTTTTGCTAGAAGTTTAGCTTCGACCCACTTGGTGAAGTAGTCAATGGCAACAATGACAAAAGTAGCGCTCATCTTCCTTTTGAGAGCGGGTCAATGATGTCGATGCCACACTTAGGGAATGGTCATGGGCTAGTGAC